TATGTTCGTCTTATGTACTGCTTGGTTGACTATATATAAAGCATCATTAGTGTGCTTGGAGGAAGGGCTAGAATGGGAAAAGGAAGGGAATGAAAAGTCAAAAATCGAGAGAGCAATAAGAGAATTCTATTTTTCTCTCTAGGACAAAAGTCCTTTTTTTTTTTGGGTAAGGTTTAATAGGCTGTTTTAATCCAATTTGATGAGCAATGGCGTGTTTAAAATCTCTTATGATAGTCATAATTTTTTTTACCTGAGTTAAAACTTTTTTATATACTCCTTCGATCCTAAATATAAAATCTTTTTTTAATTTACACCACAAAAAGAATTTTACATTTAAAATCGGAGGAGTATTTATTTTTTACTGTGTAAAAGTATTTGAACTTGTCAGGTTGATGCTTTTGGGGGCCGAAGCACAGTCTTTTGCTGTTTTTTTTTTTTTAAGGCAACATAAATTAGACTGGACCTGACGTGGAAGCCCAACTCAGTTACAGTCACAGAGCGGGTTGTACCGAAAAACAGGAGGCGCTCACCCTTTTTTTTAAAAAAAAAAAAAAAAACCTACCATTCAACCTCTTAAAGCATTTTCCAAGTAAGAAGTATTTTTTTTAATACCACTTAATATCTTAAAATAATCTTTGATCTTAAAATATTTTCTATTAGCACTCAGTATTCTAAATTTTTTTTGATTAAGTAGAATTTATTATCCTAAGGTTCACTATCACCTGGTATTCTAAAGTAAATTGTGTTTAACACGTAAAAATAGTTTTTTAGTAACATTATCATAAAATAATTTTTAGTGCATCCAACACTTTAGAATATATTATTATCAAGAGTACTTAGTATCATAAGTTTAAGCTGATTATTACTACTAAAAAAATACTTCAAAAGGACAAAATTTTATCGAAAATTATTTTAGGATATTGAGTGGTTTAAAAAAAAATTTCAAAATGATGAATTGTTACTAAAAAAAATACTTTATCAGATGGATGCTAATTAAGGGAACAAAAAACTGAGCACCTTACCTTTTGTACCTGAAGCTATAGAGGGGGCACCCTCACCCACCTCCAAAAACCCCAAATATTTTATTTAAACAAAATATTACTACCTTCAGTCCTAAATGATGCGTATTCAACTCTACACATACTACTACCAGGTCCAAAGAAAAAAAAAAAAAAAACACTCTACGCATACTACGCAATCTTTTGTTATGGAACTCTAACCTTTTTGGCATATAGATATTAATTAAGACATTTTAAAATTTGAGTACCAAGAAAAATTGAAGAAAGTACTAAAACAACTAAAAATGAGAATTGAAATGATAAAAGTTAATGAGCACTAAAAACGTAATAATTGAAGATGGGTACTGAAAAATCAAAGAGGATGGTCATTTTCGTCAATTAAAAAAATAAATTCTAAATAAGGACATTAGTCTTTACTGAAAAATATTACCTACAATCCTAATTATAAGACCTCGTTAATGAGGTATTATAATTAGAACCGGAGGTAGTAAAAAAGTTATGATCTTTATATCATTATATATATATAAACTTGAATATGAAATCCAGTTCGAATCAAACTCGAAAGGCTTACATTTTCGATCGTTTTTAAGATTTCACCTTCTCCATGTATTACTGCATGCAGGGGTTTCAATCAAGTTAGTTTCATTTCCTAGTGGTATAACCGCTCACAAAATTTATTCTCATGTCAGAACATAAAATTTGCTTTTGTTAATTTGGATTAAGTTATCTCTATCATCATGAAATATTTTTTTCGGTAACACTTAGTATTCTGAATTAATTTGTAGTTTATCTGGTACTTTAAAATATCTTTCTAATAACACTCAACATCCTATAATATTTTTCAGTAATTTTTGATAGATTCAGTACTCTGAAGTACTTTTCTAATAATATTCAATATCTTAAATTTAAGCCGTTCATTGCTGCTAAAAAAATATTTTGAGAAAAAAAATTGCATAAAAACATTTTAGCTACTTGGTATTACTTAGAATATATTTTAGAATGTTAGATTAACCACATATTTGTTTAGAACATCGAGTGCTATTCAAAAATACTTTATAAGATACTTCTTAACCTTGGTATGATAATTTTGACTGGGAGGTTATGCTTCTTGCTGAAAGTGAAATTATCAGCTTCCGTGACTCTAGAATGGGCAACAAAAAATCTACATAATGTCTTATAATCTAACAAGTTTTATGCGTCAATATATTATCAATTTTTTGATGGAATTGAGTCACTTTAATTACTTGTTGATTATACTATAGGTCATATCCACATAGAGCAGCTAGCTAGGCTATGTGAGCTTGATGGCGTTTTTTGAAAAGCAACAAATATAACGAATTCTTTTAGATTTAGTCCTCAAATTTACATTCATTTTGATTTCAGTCCCTCAAGAAGTAAAATGATCTAGATTTTTATTAAATTATAAGAATTAATATTTAAGATGAAATAAAACTTGAAAGATCAAAATTTACAGTTTGCAATTTGTGGGCCAAAATTAATGAGTATAAATTTAAAGAATCAAAATTATATTAACTCTTTTTTTAATACAAAATATCATTAGATACACTTCTTGAACTGAGAATCAAAACAATTTAGATGCAGTTTTTAAGAAATTGATAGATTCAGTGATAAATAAAGAAATGACTGGGAAGACCTCTCGGTGGTCTGCTCGGTCTGATCATAGGCCAGCGACAGAGCCACATGCATTGGAAGGTGGAACGTAGTGCGGACCAAGGTGACGCATCGTTATTGCTTATTACTTGTCCGCTGCTGCTTCTTGTTTTTCCCTGCACAAAATGTTCAGGTGAATTGGGTTTTGAGACTGACCAGAGTTATGACATATTTTATGTTTAAAGAGACTACATACAGAAATATTTATAACTCACTCACCAGTAAGGTAATCCTTATATTAGCAGCTGAATTTGAATTTACTTATGAATCGAATTCTTACTAACTAGATTAGTTCTTATGGATACTTATCTGCTTTCTAGTGTAAGCTAACAGCTGTCTAAATAGTTTGGATAGGTGCGTGTTTGAATTATTGTTTTAAAAGAGTAGTATATAAGAAGAGTTTTATTTTAACTTAAATAAAAGTAAGAAGAAGAAAGCCAAATAAAGTACTTAGATCTCACAAAAATGGATACAATCTTCCTTAAACGTAATCAATTTAAAGTCGTAGGAACTGAATTGATTCTTAACTAACAAAGCCAAAACTCCAAGGAGCAAATTAAGGGATTAATTTTTCCCATAAATTTTATTTAATATAAAACTTAAAATTTTATATAATCACTAATCAGTTAGATCAATATCAGTACATGCATGACCCTCGTCTTCATCATGAGCCGATGTGTCACTGTTGAGAAAGTTCGCAAACATATATATTGTCATTGTTGAGTTACATCAACTCTGCGCTACTTTGAGACAAATCCATTGGCAAAATCTACATTCAATAACCCAACGATAACGATAACGACATAATTAGAAGAAATAGACAAGTTTTGCTCACTCTCAAGCACCAATCACCACGTCGTCCAGCCATGACAAAAGCTGACGAACAATTAACATTATATTTGACCACCCTCGGCAAGGGCGAAGGATTAACATGAACTATCTCAACTTATAGGTTTTAAATTTGAAAAGGGGTGTGCTTTATTTTATAAAGTTCAATTTGAGTTTACCTTAATATTTAATACTCCTCCGATCCTTAATAAAAGACCTATTTAATTAATTTATTAGATTAAGAAAGTTAGATAAGTTATTTAATTCTAAAAAATATGACATGTTTTTCCTAAAATATTATAATCATCTTTCTTAATATCCTGCCTCCTCCTTCTACTTGATTATGGTTGATAGAGTATCTATAGGGGTAATTTAGAAAAAATTGAGAAATATGAGAAATAAGTCTTATATTTAGGATGAAAACCAATTCAACAATTAGATCCTATGTTAAGGACCGGAGGAGTATATCTTTTCTAATTTTGTCTTTAATTATTTATTCTATCTCATTTTTTATTCTTTTTCTTATAACATTTTTTCACATATTCTCTTTCATTCTTTTTCTAATTTATTATAAGAGCATATTTGAGAATAAAAATATATTTCTAATCTATTTATTAATTTTAACTAATTGTTTGTTATTCACGAATTAGTGGTTTGACATTTATAATAAGAATTGGATGGAGTATATTTGACCACCCTATGCAATGTTTTTGTAATATCCTCACTATTCATTATAAGGGCATATTTCAGAATAAAAATGTATTTTTAATCTATTTATTCTTTTTAACTAATTGTTTGTTATTCGTGAATTAGTTATTTGAAACTTATAATAAAAATTGATTAGAGTATATATATTTGACCATTGGCCACAATGGGTTTTAATATCCTCACCCTTTAATATACTTTTTTTGGGTGTAAATTCAAAGTATTCTCAAAGTCCTCGCAACAACAAGTATACTTTTTAGAATTCAAATTTGCATTCCCCTTATTATAAGGGTGAGATTGCTTATTATATCAACTAACATCTTGTTAATAATATTTTTATAACGTCCCCACGTTTTAAATGCTTTTTAATTTTATTATTATATAAAATTAATAATATTTTAATATCTTACCAATATAAATGGATGTCGTTTTGAATTTTTCTAATTTTTTAAGATGTGCATTATAAAGAGTATTAGAGAGTAGGGCATTATAAGCCCTTTGCCCCACATCTACAATATACCACTGCTAAAAATATTCACATGACACTTTATTTTATCTTTATTTAATGATTATTAATCAATATTCAGATCTTATTCAGATTAATTATGTACTTTTTTTTTTTTTTGAAAAAGACCCCAGTGAGATTTTTATCAACGGGTTCTTACGATTCGTTAAGCAAGGTCATCAGCTATATATATATACAACACCAAAACACGTCTCCATGACTCAAATCCATTCAGATCACTAAAGTACTCCACAAAAGAGAAGTACCAAACGATGATGATCATCTTCTTGTTCTATTGTTTCCTTCCTTCTCTTGCTTTCTTCTTCACTCTCAAGCTCTTCGTTCAAAATAAGAAGTTCAAAAACATCCCACCTGGTCCACCTTCTCTTCCCATTATGGGCAACCTCCACCAAATGAAAAAGCCACTTCATCACGCCTTTCACCGGATTTCTCAACGTTATGGCCAAATCTTTTCTGTTTGGTTTGGCTCTCGTCTCGTGATCGTTGTGTCGTCGCCTTCTGCAGTCCAAGAATGCTTCACCAAAAACGACATCGTCCTGGCAAAGCGGCCCCGCGTTCTCCTCGGTGAGCATATTGGCTACAACTCCACCACCTTAGTGTTCACTCCCTGCGACCACTGGCGCAACCTCCGCCGTATCACGGTGGAAGAGGTGCTCTCGAACCACCATCTCAACAAATTCTTGGAAATGCGAAGAGACGAGGTGAAGCGCCTGGTGCAAAAACTTGTTCAAGACTCAAATAATACGGTGTTCGCCAAAGTGGAGATGAAATCAAGATTTTATGAGTTGACCTTCAACAATATGATGAGAATGCTTTCTGGCAAAAGGTACTGGGGAGACGACAATGAGGTTGTGGATGTGGAAGAGGCCAGAAAGATTCGAGAGATTATAAAACAACTAGTGTCTCTAGGAGGGGTAAATAACATTGCAGATTTCTTGCCCATACTCAGGTGGTTTGATTTTGGTCACTTGGAGAAGAGGCTCAAGAGTTTTGCCAAGAGAGCCGATGGGTTCTTGCTAGGTCTCATTGATGAGCATCGAAATGCAAAGCGGAGAGCAAATACTATGATCGACCATCTTTTGAGTCTCCAAGAATCACAACCTGAGTACTATACAGATCAGATTATTAAAGGCCTCATTTTGGTGAGGGAAATAATAAATAAAGTTACACTTTTACCTTTTTTATTGCATGCAGTTAGATATCTTTTGATTACTTTGTATTATAAGACGTGCATGCAACCTATGTTGAAGTTGAGTGGGTACAGTGTATGCTCAGTATCTGCCTCATTCTAAATTTATGATGCTTAATTATGCAAGAATTGGAAAGGAAAAAGGGCTAAATTATACAAAAATTCTCTTGAACTCTATGTCATAACTCATATGTAAATAATTCCTTAAAATTTTATATTTATGTAGATAATTTTCATGCTATTAGTTTTGTTCATTATTTATTTGCAAATGGTTTAAAGCTTAGGGGTTTATATGCATATAATTTTAAGTTAGGGGATTAAATATGAATATAAAAATTTAAAGTTTAAGGGGTAAAAAGTGGATTGGTTTGAAGTTATGTGTAGCTTTGAAAGGCTAGGGGTCTGTTGTTAAATTTTAAAGGTTAAAGATGTTATTTCACATATTCAATTAATACTAAGTAAATAGGGAAAGGGAAATATCTATAGAAATAGGCAGCTCAGCTTGTAATTAAGAATTTGACTTCTCCTTGTCTTGCGGAACAGCGCAAAATATACTATATATTTTAAAATGCTAATTGTGTGACCACTCACTAAATTTAGTCTAAAATTGAATGTAAAATTTGTATTAACTCATTTTACTTTGTTGATTTTGACTTATAGGTCCTGGTCTTTGCTGCAACGGATACCTCAGCCGTAACTTTAGAATGGGCAATGTCTAGTCTATTAAACAATCCTCATGTGTTGGAGAAAGCGAAAAAAGAAATAGACACTCATATAGGACAAGAAAGATTAATCGATGAGCGAGACATCTCAAAACTACCATACCTACAAAGCATCGTCTCTGAAACACTTCGATTACATACTGCAGCACCATTGCTGAATTCACACGAGGCTTGGAATGATTGCACCATTGCAGGATACAATGTTCCGCATGGAACTATTGTGTCAATCAATGCTTGGGCCATCCATAGAGATCCCCAAGTGTGGAGTGATCCCACAAGTTTTAAGCCAGAGAGATTTGAGAAAGAAGGAGAAGCAAACAAGCTAATTACATTTGGGTTGGGAAGACGAGCATGTCCTGGAGAAAGTTTAGCTCAACGAACAGTGGGCTTGACTTTGGGATTGTTGATTCAGTGCTTTGAATGGAAACGAGTAAGTGAGGAAGAAATTGACATGACAGGAGGAGCAGGAGCCACCATGCCAAAAGTTATTCCTCTGGAGGCCATGTGCAGAGCACGCCATCCAGTCATTAACATGGTTCTTTCTTAAAATGTTGCAGAGGATAGCTTGTGCATCCAAAGACATGGAGTTATGGGAGTATGTTGTTGGCAGGAATGTTTCTCTAGAAAGTGAGAGAAGAGAAGAAGAAAAAAGCAATGCATGATGTTTCTAAGCCATAGAGAACATTTTACTTTATGCTTAATTCGCTCCTCATATCCTTATCTTATAAGATGTAAGTTGGGTTTAAATGAATTTTTTTTTTTTTTACAGGATACAATGGAGACCCTTGAATATGAACTGCACTGTTAATACTCAAACTAAAACAACAATGACTTTTACAAAGTGATAAGTTGTTTTTATCTTTACATGCACTTCAAGACAAAAACAATGAGTTTGATTTTGTTGTAGTAATGTGTTGTTGTATGTTTTAAATAAATAAAAGTGAGGAGTATTATATTTATAGACCATGAAGTGATGTCTTGAGGAAATGCCTCTTGAAGCAATAACGAAAGGTTTACTTATTTAGTAATTTTTTCATAAAGGATTACACCTTTTTAATATATAGGATTTCCTTAAAAAATAGCACAACATTTCACACAGTCGTGGTTGTCACGCCTTTTCATTGATGTCTTTAGAAACCAAAGAAACTAATGTTTCTTTTGAAGTTTTAACTCTCCACACAGCACTTCATATAAATTTATATAAGGATTTAACTTTTCTAAAAACACATCTTTTCATTTTAAAAATATTCCAACATTTCTTGCTATATATAAAAAGTCCATTTTTAGTATTTGGTGCAATCTATTGCATTAAGAGAACGGGAACACACACACACACGAATAATTTCCTTCTTGTTCTCTTTTCATGTTTTGCATGAATAGTATTTCGTCCGTTCTTGCCGTCGGTGCCATAACCGGCGGCTTCATCAGTTCGCTGCATTGCATCCATGTATCATCTTCATTGATCGCAGCAATGATGTCCTTTCATCTGTCTCAACTATGGTATGTGTTTCAAGTAGTTAACTGGTTTTCACCTCGTCTTTTCTGCTTTTATTATTGTTTTCATCGGTTTATAGAAAATATAGAAAGTCTAATTTATAACTATGATTTTCTGGTTTGCCAATTGCTAGAGATATATCAGTCGGTGAAAGAATAACTAACTAAAGAAGTTGGATTTGATTGTTTGTTATACATACAAGAGTTTGATGGAATCAACGTCCATGTTTGGATGAATCTGCTATTGAGTCTTGTTTGTCCTTGTTCATTGGCTCTAGAACTTTGTTTTAATTGAAGAAAAAAGGGACTTATGGGAGCATAAGGACAGAAATGCTCCCACAATCACCGCTTATGAGAGTTTAATATTTGTCATAAATGCTCTCAGAGAGAGTCCCAGAACATGCAATTTGGATTTGGATGTTAAAAGATATGAATTTTCAATCATAAGCCAAAAAATATGGAATTGCAGTTCTGGAAAATGAACAGTAATTTTTCTGAAGATCTTGTGGGAAAAGAGGGAAAGATAATGAGCTGAGTTGTATTTTTCACTTATAGATAAGTTAAAGAGCTTTAATTAGAGACTTGAACCACTTTATTCTGATTTTTTTAGATCTAATTATGACTTTTCAAACGTGATCGCAAATTCAAGATTTATCAAGTGGATAATAAATTGAGAATCAATTTGAGTTTTGAGGTTTTTGATTCTTTTATGGGATTTCAATGGCCAAAAGAGGTTATGAAAGTGTCTCATGCTCTTCTAATATGTAATACTCCTAACTCAGCTCACTCCTAATTCCATATGTAAAGCAATAGCCAAGATATGAATATTCAGCTCACTCCTAATTCCATATGTAAAGCACGACCTCACATTTTACACTAAAAAACAAATAGATGATTATGGATGGAATTTAGCAACCAAATTCTTTTCATTGCCAATTTCTTCATTGCAAATTGATTGGCGAAGAAATGTTCACATGCAAGTTTATTTGTCAATTCTAGATTTCTATCTTGTATTACACCTTTCAATATATTGCATATATCTAATAACACATAAAATATATAATAAAATAAATGGTTAAGGCGCAAATTTATCCATTAACTTATACTTAATGTGTGCCAAATACCATCTACTTTTCTTAGGTATAAATCTACTTATGCAAATTTAAAATGGTTGTAAAAATGATAATAATGTTAATTATGATAAACTATTTTTAGTTTAATGGGTCCTACTTGATGACTGAAAATGTTGACATAGAAGCGGATGTGGCACTAAAACAAAAAAAAAAAAAAGAAGGTAATTTGCAGCAGTCAAAATGGCTGATTTGTAGCGGTTTTAACCGCTACAAGTGCCAATTATAGTGGTTATAAAAACCGCTAAAAAAACCATCGATGCAAACGGTTTTGTAATGGTTTTTCCAAACTGTTGCGCAAGATAGTAAACCGCTACAAATATTTGTCGCGGTATTATAACCGCTAGTAATGACGTGATGAAAGAGATGATATTGAGGTAGTTTGCAGCGATCAAAAATAGCTACAAAGGCATGTGCGAATGTGAGAAATAAAATTTGCAAATTTGTTGCAGTTTATTAAATCGCTACTAATGATGGGCATAAAATTTTGTCTGGCGAGAACCAAAAAATTCAATTTGGTGGCAAAATTTGTAGCAATTGAGTAACCGCTATAAATGAAAAATTTTTTCCAAAAAAGATGCTAGCCAGTAGGAATTTGCAGCGGCTGTTTGTCCTTTGTAGCGGTTTAAGAACCGCTACAAATGTTATGTTGAAATTGAAAAAAAAAAGAAATTATTTACCAGATTTGCAATTAAATTTTGAAGTAAAAATATAATAAATTAATTATGATTTACATATTATAAATTTATTATGCTTTACAATTAAATTTTATTAAATTTTATGTTACATAAAGAAATTTTCTAACATTTTAAAATATTTAATAAAAATTACTTATGAGAAGATTTACAATTTTATAATTATAAAAGTTAAAAAAGTTTTTGAAATGTTATTTATGAAGATAAGGAATAAATTAGAAAGAGCAGAAGCTAAAGGTAAATAAGTCCTGCATGAAAAAATGGAAAAAATATTAGCAAATGGAAATTAAATAATATGATAAAATAAAAATAAATTAACAACTGAAAAGACTTACAATTTGATAAAATTGCAATAGAGAAGAGGAGGAGAGGAGTAACAAAAGAGAGGAGGAGAGGAGAAGGAGAGGAGGAGAAGTGTGAAAAATGAGAGGAAGGGTGGAGGTATTTATAGAGGGCGGGTGAAATTTATAGCGGTTTATTTTATTTTTTAATGGTTATTTCTTGTAACAGTTTTTTACCATTTGTATTGAACTTTAAAAAAAAAAAACTTACCAATTTTTAAAAAATGGTTTGGAATGAACTATTGAAAATTTAGTCTTTATCACCTTGCCTAAATGGAGATATATAAATTCAAATAATTAGAAATAATTATAACACATATATATTAAAATTAAAACATCTACTATTAATTAATGTAACAAAAATGAACTAAAATTATATGTAAAAGTAAAATACCTAATAATTGGTAAATTGTCATCTCCTTCGGAGAAGAAATTTTCAAAATTTGTTGGTTGGAAGGGTTCACTGTTACATCTTATTTCTATTATACCTTAGAGTCCATTCAGAATCATTTCAGAAAAAACATAAATAGGGCAGAAACACTGTTCACTTGGAAATTTCAAATTTTCTTTTCAATTTTGAAAATTCGTAACTAATTCTAAAAAATTTGAAATAGAGTGGTTCCAAGTCTTACTAAAAGCTCGTTAAATGCTCTTTCAAGAAAAAATAATGTTATGACCAATTTGGTGTGAACCAGTGCCAAATTTGTACAGAAATTATTATTATGCTATTAGTTAAAAACTTTTTCTAGATTCTAAACCTTAATTTTGAAAAATCACCATAAATCATACAGATATCCAATTTTAAAATTCTACCTATTGATTTGAAGCTCAAGACGGGAACTATAAGCATACCAAATTTTAAAATTTAATTCGTCCAGTAACATAGTCAAAACGCAGCTCCAAGTTGTTAGCTTAATAGGGTTACAGCAACCATGCATATTTATACATATATTGTCAAAAGTCATATGGTTTCACAATAAATACGCCATTCATTCCTGAATTTTCTTCTTCTTCTTGGATGGCTTACCCCCTAGAATATTGAATTACATTTGAAAGGAATGAGATTTTATTGAAATCTTAATAGCAAGATAAATCAACCATCATCAAAGCATTTCAATGTTAGCTATCATTGGAGAACTAATTCTCTCATAATTAGGAAATCTCTAACATGCAATAACCAAGGCAAAATAAAGCAAAGATCAGCCACATCACAATCATCATAGTTCAGCCATATAATAGCAATAATCCATGTATTAATAATCAATGCAATGTTAATACTAAGAATTAATTTAAATCTTGCTACCTCGATCCAATTGCTTCTTGGCTCTTTGCTCTTGCCCCTTCCCTCCACAAATATAAAATCCTAAAATATCACATTGCACAAAAGGGGCAGCCACATTACAATTCAAACCATACAAGACTCAATGACAAAGCTTAAGTAACCCTTTTACCCTTAATTCTTTGAATTTTGGAGCTTTGTTTTCTTTAACCTAAAAATTATTCTCTTAGGTCAATCCTACATAATTTTTCATGTAGAATCCAAATATGAACTTGGTTTCATGAAAAGAAAACTCCTTCCCCAAGAAACAGTGTTAGTTGAATAGGGGGGTTCTTGAAATTCAAAATTTCAACTTTAATTCCAATACTTTCAATGCTTGCTCTTTAGGTCTACCCTACACTATTTTTCATTTTGAACACAATAGAAGCATCAAAACTATGAAAAAAAAAACATCCTAGGATACAGATCTTAGCTTGGCCAAACAGCAACATTGACAACCAAAACATGAAATCTTTGACATATCAACACAAATCCATTTGAAACAACCTATAATCAATGTGTCTTAACTAGGTATAGCATCAAAACTTCCTTCCCCTAACCTATGATAA